GGATTATCATTGTCTAGCGAGGCACCACTGTATCTCTGAGGTGGATATCTTCACCTTAGATTTATGTTGTATCCTATACAGCAGTGGCCCCCAACCTTTTCTGAACCACAGTGTGGTTGGGGGTGTCCATGAGCAGGGGGGCACCCCCGTGCTCATGGGTGGGCAGGGCAGGGCGTGCTTGCGTGCATGTGTGGGGCATCCGTGCATGCCGGTGGGGTTCGTGCCACAGGGCGTGCTTGCGTGCATGTGTGGGGCACCCGTGCGTGCTGGTGGGGTTCGTGCCGGTGGGAGATCTGTCTCTGCAGCCCGGTCCTGCCATGGGCACGAACCATCACCAGGCCACGGACCGGGGGTTCCGAACCCCTGTTATACACCACTAAAAACTATGGTGAGGCTTAAAAACAAAAAATACCAAAGCTCTAAATAAAACCATTAACACTTCCAATGCTTAAAGTAATATGCGAAAAACTTAAAAAATGTCCAGTTACACATGACTAAAAAACAATAGATTGGATTAAGAATCTGGCTTCCGTGAGCAAAAGAAAAAAAAAAGCTTCATTCACAAAAGTTGTTCCACTCAGTTTTCAAGGACTCCTTCCTATTACAACTTATCCCATTCACCAAGTAACAATGGCCCTTGGTAAAACAATTCCAGGTGTTTAAATGGATGCCATGGAGACAGGGAAGTCTAATTCTATGTGCCTACATATGGATCGATCCTGAGAGACTTTAAATATAAAGTAGTAGAAAAATGTATGAGAACATTGTGATCTCAATCTCTTTAGTCAACAAAGCTGTCAAGAAAACAGTAACTGAAAAAAAGAGATGTAACAATTACATTTGTTGTAACGGAATTTCCATTGCTGAAAAAGGATTTTTTTAAAAAAAACAGGGAAATCCCTGCTGAAAAACAGAATAATAGTATGAATGTAAAAATCTACAGTAAAGAAAAAGTAATAGAATGCAAACACAGAACAAACAGGGAAGGGAAAGAATGGCAGAGGATTGGCTCAGGAAAGACCTTCTCAACATGAAAGATAAAAGAGAAAAAGAAATTAAAGGCCTGTGCTACAACATACTATACAGTGTCACACAACAAGCCAACTGCAGAATGGAGCAGCAGAATTCTGGAACACTGATATTTAAAGGCTCCCACAACAAAACAAATACAAAACAGTAACTCTGTCATGTGTCAGAGAATGCAGATCCGCAGAATGGAGCAGCAGAATTCTGGAACACTGATATTTAAAGGCTCCCACAACAAAACAAATACAAAACAGTAACTCTGTCATGTGTCATAGAATGTGTCATGTAGCCTTAATGGCTTAGCTATCAAGAAGTGCCAGAAAAAAAGGTTTAGGTATGAAGTGAGTTTCTGTCTCTTTCTGCACAAAAGCCATATATAGGGAAATCTTTTCCCTCGGCTCCACGTTTGTAAATATCTCGAATGATTTTTCACTCTGTCTATCGAACACTCCGCCCCAGGATTTATTTCTACTGCCTTTAGTTCTTGAAAACTTTCCATTAATATAGCAACCTAGGCTTGAGATGTACCGTATTTTTCGCTCCATAAGACGCACAGACTTCCCACCCCCCTGTTTTGTGGAAAAAAGTGCGTCTTATGGTGCGAAAAATATGGTAATTCCCTAAATTCATTGCAGCCAGAATAAAATTCACATAATACCACAAAATATTAATCTTTTCTCTCAGTTTTTCATCTGCCCTTGCCTCCCATACCTATAATCAAACCTCTGCTCATCTAATGGGTTCTCAACTGCCAGAACAGAAAGGAGTTTTAAAAAAACCTGGGTAGAACTTTCAGCCAATTCTGGTTTAAAGGTTTCCACTCTAATCAGACTGAATTTAGCTGGTGTGCCATTATCCTCTGAATTAAAAGGTGCACAGAGACTAGCTCTGGTATTGTGTAACCAATCAACACAACACTTAGAGCACAGGTTACTCTGTGCCAAATTGGGACAAGGTTTGACAAATACTTTTATAGATCTGATTTCTGATTTTAAAAACCATTCTTACCCTCCCATGATTTTGTTTTGCTAATATTTTTTATCAGCGTGTAGCAAATTTGGAAGATATTTTTTGAACGCCTACCACTGCTTCTTCAAAAATTAAATGATATTATTACAAGCTTTTTGTTTGTTTAAAGTTGGTCTGTTCTGTTGCTCAGAAGATACAATACTTTAAAGATGCTTATTTTACTTAGGAAAATGTTGTGGCTGCACGTGCTCACTGAAGTATTCCACAGCCATTGCCCAAACATACTGACAGTACTGTACTTCAGGAAACTAATGAGTCTCTACCATTTTGCCCATCTGGGCAAAATGTAGATTAGGACTTCAGCCTTACTGCAGGCAGAAGTGTCTCTAAAGAAATAGATAGACACAGGCTGAGGAGAGAGATGGTAAAAGAGACAGGAAACAAAGAGAAAGAAAGACAAGACACTACAGAAAAAGAGAGAACGCACAGGGTGAGGGACAAAGAGAAAGAGAAAATCCACAGGGATATTCAGAGCGTGGAACCACAGAGAGGGGGAAAAGGAAGAGTAAATATTGGCAAGGAGCCATGGACTGAGGAGTAAATACAGGCAAGAGAGAGGAAAATCATAACGCCAGAGGGATGGAGAAGAGCCAGAAAGAAGACAAAGAAAGAATGCTTTGTGCCCTAAGCAATAAGCAGTCAGAAAACATGTTTATAAACAGCCATGGGTAAGAAGTGGTTAACTGAAGAAATAAGAAATAAGGTTTTGGGATTGGTTTCCTTTCTTGGTGCTTCCTTATGAATGGTATTGAGCACAAAAGAGGACCATGTAGACCAGCTTGACTGTTGACATTGGTATCATCAATATTCAAGCTGGCCTTTGCTTTGTAAAGCTTGACATCCTTTGTCTTATTGGCAACATGTGCATGATACTGCAAGGGCCATTTCCTGGTATTTTAAAATTGTGGATGCAGAAACAATATCCTACTTCATTTTTTTTCCTGGAAGGATTGAATCTAATCTAATAGGTCTGTTTCTATTCTAAAGTTCAAACCCCACAGGCACACTAACATACAGGCTCCAGAAAAGTACTCATTAAGATACAACAAAGCTGTCATCTTCTGAAAGGATCAAATATCCTTTTAATGAAACTTTTCCGTGCTGTGAATACTCTTCAAAAGATCCCAAGCCACAGTCCACAAAGAATATTAAATGGGCGCATCTCTAAACTTCTTCTTTCTTTCCTGGCAAGCATACAGTGGCCACTGTAATTAATTCCTCCAAGAAACTTTTTTAAAAATCTAACCAGCATAAAACCACCTAGGTATGAAATGCTTTGGAACATGCAAAACCCTTTGTTGTATCTGCTCCTTACATTGACTTGGTTTCCAGGTTTCAAAGGAGAACAACAATCAAATTCATCATCTTATAAAAATTATACAGGTATGCTGAAAAGCAGAATATATTTGGTATACATAGCAATTCTAACACTCCTTCTCTAGTTTATATGAACTTTGTTTTATATGTCTATCAGGCCCAATTAATCTCAATTTCTTTTCCATCGTCATCACCCACTAGAAAGTATCAATTCTATCTTTTGTTGAAAGAATATATTTACTACTGAAAAGTTAATAACCTTGCTTGGAAAAGTCAAATTTTATAGCTATCCCTTGGAGTATAGCTGAGTTGCAGCAATTCTCTCATGTTTTGATCAGCATTCCACAGCCAACCAATTACTTTTTCAAACTGTCAAGTACACCCAAACATTAAGTGAAACTTTTGAAAGTTAGAACAAAATTAAAAATTCATCACTTAATTTAAATGTTCAGCTACAATCTATACAGCTGCATGACTTCCCTGACTGCCTAATAGAGTTTAGACTTACTTAAGACACACACACAAATTTTGACACAGTATACTGAAGCAGTTTATGGAAGAGAGCATGAAAAGCTGCTGTATAAAAAAAGGTATTGCCTGGCCCACTAAAAAATAGCCCACAAACTACTGCAACCTCTTACTCCAGTGTATCATTGTGCAACACCTGTCAACTGATCAGGAGTAGATTAACTAGTTTTTCAACACTGCTTAAGTCTTCTCCACTGCTAAGGGAAACAGTCAAACTGTTTTTCCGCATCTCCTCCACAATGGAGTACAGTGGTGCCTCAACTTATGAACGTCCCTACTTATGACCATTTCGAGTTACAACCAGCTCCGGCTGCAAAATTTTGCTTCTACTTGTGACCGGAGCTTCCACTTACGAACAGAAAAAGGCAGGGGAAAATGGCGGGAAATTCAAATTGCTAACTGTAGGTGGCGATGAGGCTGCTTCTTGGTAGCTCTTTCGCCCAGGTAGTTATAGAGTGTGTGTGATTGGAGGAGGCTTGGGACTGCCTCGCTTCTGCTTCTGAGTGAGTGTGTGTGTGTGTGTTTTCAGGGAGGCTTCAGGCTGCCTGGTAAGGTAAAGTGCTGTTTTCTGCTTTTAAAAAACTGTTCTGGGTGTTTGTGCAGCATGGTTTTGAGCTGGAGGGGTTATGTTTCTGTGCTGTGATGGGTCTTGGGGATTTGTTGGTTTTTTTGGTCTTTGCCCCCCCCCATTTCCGACGGGTCTTGGGAGATTTGTTGCTTTTTGGAGTGTTTTTCCCTATTTCCAATGGGTCTTGGGGTTTTCTTTGTTTGTTTTTTTTTATTTATTTATTTCTGATGGGTCTTGGGGGGTTTGGTTGCTTTTTGGGGCTTTTTCCTCATTTCCAATGGGTCTTGGGGGGTTATTTGTTTATTGGCTTTTCCCCCCATTTCCAATGGGTCTTGGGGGTTTGGTTACTTTTTGGGGGGGTTCCCCATTTCCGATGTTCTTATAGGCTTCCCTTTGTTCTCTTTGCATTTCCGACCTGGTCCCTTTGTTTTCTCTCCATTTCCAATCTGCTCCGTTTGTTTTCTGTGCATTTCCAACCTGGTTCCTTTGTTTTCTGTGCATTTCTGACCTGGTCCCTTTGTTCTCTGTGCATTTCCAGTCCACTCCGTTTGTTTTCTCTGCATTTCCGATGGGTATTGCACACTTGATTGTTTTGCAGTGATTTATATTTTTTGGTGATTTTTTTCCTTCGGCAGGAATGGATTAATTGTATTTCAATGGGAAATCGTGCTTTGCCTTACGACTATTTTGTGTTACATCCATCTTCTGGAACAGATTATGGTCGTAAGTCGAGGCACCACTGTAGTGGGATTTCAACACTATTAACTCCGTATCTGCCCAATACCTCTTGCTGTTCTTTGTTACAGCAGAGGTGGAAACCTTTCTTCTCTTAGGGACCATATTATCTCATAGACAAATTGTTAAAGGCAACACAACAGGAAGGTGGCATTGCTTTTATTTATGTTTTTCTGTCACCTCCTTTTCACTCTGCTTACTCCAAAGAGTAATCCCAGGAAAACTGCTCTAAATCTAACGTAAGTCGCAATACAAATACTTGACCGACAGAATCTGCTATTAGTTTCACTACATTACAAAACCTGTCCACTTGCTCCTAGCCATGCTTCTTATTTATTGTCCAGTAACCATCTCTGTGTCAGAAGCACTAAGTTATGATCAATAAATACATCAGATAATTTCCATCCAATAATGGGCAATGTCAAGAGCACTGACATAGGTGTGATATTGCCTGTTCTCTACATTCACAAAATACAGTGTTGGTGCAAACTGTCCATTTTTTTCAGTTCACTTTGGTTCTGCCAGCTCTAGTCCATATCTATTATGGGACTTCCAAGTATGAGCCTCGTGGTGCAGTGGTTAAAACGCTGTAATGCAGCTAAAACTGTGCTCACGACCTGGGGTTCAAATCCCAGGTAGCCGGCTCAAGGTTGACTCAGCCTTTCATCCTTCCGAGGTCAGTAAAATGAGTACCCAGCTTGCTGGGGGGGGGCAATGTGTAGCCTGTATAATTAAAATTGTAAACCGCCCGGAGAGTGCTTGTAGCGCTATGGGGTGGTATATAAGTCCAATCAATCAATCAATCAATCAATCAATCAATCAATCAATCAATCAATCAATCAATCAATCAATCAATCAATCAATCAATAAAATTCTCCACGTTGCTGGGAGGTACTCTCCTGAGATTCCATCCTTTTAAAGAAGTGGCAGTTCTTCTCACCTCTTAAGAGGATCCACCTACTACTCGATATATGAAAATTTTCTACAGAGACCTTTGAAGGGAGATACTGCAGAAGTTTACTGAAAATGTAAGCATACTATATCTACTGGACCCTCTTTAACAATGAAGGACAACAAGAAAGACATTTAACCTGCTGGTCCAAGTTCCTCAGCAAAGTAGGGATCATTCCAATCAACATCTGATGGGCATTCATCTTCTGTTTGTGTTTCCTCAGCAGTAGCCTGAAACAAAACACACTGCATTACTATTATTAAATACCCATAATTCTTTAGTAATATAAGCAAATATATAAAACAGAAGGTTGCCAAATACATATTTTGAGTAGTAACCTCTGAGAACAAATTTGTAACAGAGGAAGCAAATTATTTAGAACAATTACCCTCACCAGGATCAAGAAACTATAGCACTGTATGCATCAATGTGGGCTTCATGAATCATTCCATGTGTAACTTTAGGCATATAAATGCACAAATTTCATAACTTTTTTGATCAACTGTAGGATAAGTGATACCACCACAAGATCACCCAATAAGCACAAAGAAGTACAATTCTACACCAAATGGTTTTTCAGTGGTAGGAACATTTGGTGCGATACAAATCGCGGATGGAAACTTTTGACTCTCTAGATTTCCTGAGTCACAATTCCTATCAATTCTATATCTAGCACTGTTGGTAGTGATGAATAAAGGAAGCTGTACACCAAAACAACTGGACAGCCAAAGACTGCCTGTCCTAGTTTATAGTCTACTACTTGATGGCATTTTTCATTGGTTAGGCCTTTTATTCCCCTAATCAAAAGAATAAGCACAATTGGGGGCATTAGCTGTTCTTTTAAAGACAAAGGCAGGGTACAAATATTGTATAAGTAAATTAATAAATAAAATATGTATAAATGCATGTGACAAAGCATAACCATATTGTATGGAAGGTCCCTTCTTTGCATCATTTTGTTAGAGGTCTATAAAGGTCTAGAGGGCTCTTAGGAAGGTGTTCAAGCACCAGATTTTCTGACCTGACAGGATATGAGACCACAAACTTGTATGACTCAATATGTACTCCTTGGGAGTAATAACCACGCTACCAGACTTCAGAAGTCAGAGAAGTGTGGTAAAAACATATAATCAGAAGGAAAGCCCTCAGATTTCTCTTCTATAGAAAACTAGACATGAGTCAAAAACTGACAATTGAATCTAACATTACATATCAACACATCTGGGGTAAAAGGTCTAAGCATGATGTACATCTTCAAAGAAGTTAAGCCATTACATTCACCCAAGAAAAGCTGTGACCTACTTTGTCAACTGTAATTGGAAAGACATGTAACCTCACAGCTTTACTGAATAAAAAGCCAGCTAGGACCTGTTTTTCTTATTCCAGAATAATCTACATTATTTCCTTAAAGTGTCAAATATTTTGCTTTAAGCCTAAGTGAGAATTCCCAGACCCTAGGTATTCGGCAACTATTAATACTGGAGGGGAAAAAAAAACAAAACACAAATACCACACTAAACCTCTTATTGTGCTTTGGAAATGGTGAAAGACTTGAGAACTGGACAAGCTCCTACAAGGGCGTGGAAGATCACTACTTACACAAAATTAAAAGAGGAAAGCAATAATAGCTTGGGCAGAATAAAATGGGTGCTTGGAACCTGCAGGCCTATAAGAATCAGTGAATTAGAGTAAAGGAATGATACGTACAGTACTTGTGAACTTAATCAGTGATGTAAACTGGGTTGCCAGCACCCAGGGCAAGGCAAATATTGCGTCCCCTCAAGGTCACCTTGGGAAGCAGCAGGGGAGGGAGCTCGGCACTGGCTGAGCATCCTCCCCATACTGCCCCATCCACGTGGCCTGCCTGCTTTGTTTATGTGGGGAGAGGTCAGCCAGGCTGCTCTGGGCCACTCTCGCCAAGGAGGGGGGTCTGCTTGGCCTGCTGCTGCTACCGCCTGCCCAGAGGAGGAAACAGACCGAGCGAGGCAAACACAGCCAGGTGAGGCTTGCGTACTTTCTTGCCCATTGTGAACTCCACCTTGCCTGATGGCTTCGTGACAAGGCTGAAATTTTGCACCCTAAGAATTTTGCACCCAGGGCAACCAACCCTGTGGCCCCACCCACACAGTGCCACTGTACTTCATGAATCTGGAGAAGACAAACTATTTTCAACTGTTTTGTTTGAGATCTGTTGGTAATCTTTCAATAACAAAGACAGGGAGATGAGCCATACTATTTTTAATACATTATTTGCCTGCCACCTGATTTCTAAATGAAACCCAAGAAAAGAAAAATAATGTAAATAAAATAAGTTTTTATACAAGAGATTATGGCAATGCTATGAACCCATACTTATGAGACAGAAGAAATACCTGACCTCTAAGAGGCTGCTTCTGACAAGAGGCAAAGATTTATCAGACTTAAATTTCTGATGATGGCTGTTTTTCTCAAACCCTTCTAAATTCCACTGGCTCATAACTGAAAAGTACAAATGGGATCCATAGTTCTGGTCCAGTTCTTCTCCCTCCCACATCATTGTTTCTAAATCATCCTTATTAAAATCTTGCTCATAGACTTTAAATTTTTTACTAAAAGGCTAATTAAATGATGAGTATGTAAGCCTCACCAGCCCTGCCCAGGTTGCCCCTTCTCTACTCCCTGACCCATGGGCCTGACAATAGGTAGTTCAAGCAAAACAGAATTTATTCTAAATGGGAAGGGGGCTGAGGGCTAACCAACAGACACCTGAACCTATCAGGTTGGTACTCTGACACACAGTAGTACCCTGTCTGACACACAGACTCCCACACCAGCTTCTTCTTCCCAGCTGCTGCTTCGTCACATCCCAGCGTCTCCTAACTTCACCACACAGGCTTCACCTATATATACAGTACAGCCCCTCCTCCTGATGTCCCGCCTTCCACTCCCCATAGGATGGAACTTTCCCTCCAAACCCATGACAGACAGGTAACATCAGTGCTGTATGTAACACCATACACCAGGTTTATGGCATCAGAGTGGGCACCATGTGGCTGGGTAGGGCTTGTGGCATAGTTGGGGCCTAGCCAAAGTGTTGGCTGGGATTAATACCTACAGTTGCTCCTGTTCCAGGTGGTGCTGACATTCCTTTCAACGTTTCTGTCTCCAGTGTCACAGCTGCGCTGGAGTTGGATCCCCCAGCCCAGTTCCCAGCTGTAGTCAAGGGCTCTGGCTCTGCCAGAGGTGGGTGTGGATGCAATGGTTCCTCCAAGAACCCCAGTGCCCAGTTCCCAGCTGTAGTCAAGGGCTCTCTCTGGCTCTGCCAGAGGTGGGTGTGGGTGCAATGGTTCCTCCAAGAACCCCAGCGTCTGGCTTGTCTCCTCCAGCATCTCAGTCTCCTTCTCTAACCTCTCAATCTCCTTCTCTTCCCGAGGCTGGCTGCCTACATCTTCTAATGCCTTTTATATCACCTACCACTCAGCTAAACTCTCCTTCTCTAGGGGCCACTCTGTACTTCCCTGTGTACACTACCGAAGGCTATGCCTCTGGGTCTGGCAGTCCCTAGCCTGAGTCTCCAGAGCCTCTGGTTCCCCCCAACTTCTGCATTACGACTCATCCTGCAGCCTGGGCCCAGGCTAGATGGCCCACTAGAAGTAACCTCACTAGCATTCTCCTCACAGAAGATTATCAGGCTTAAACTCAGTTATTTGAATCTCTGCAATCTACACACTCCGGTGGCCATTTTGGAACCGCTGATCAGCTGTTCTCCCGGCTTCGTTATGCGATATTCGCTAAGTGAAACGCTTAGCGAATATTGCAAAGCGAAAAATCCCCATGGGGCCATCGCTGAGCGAATGCTCCAGCGATGGCCCAGAGCGCCTCGTTAAGCGATTTAATTGCTCAGCGAGGCGCTCGTTAAGCGAGGCACCACTGTATTTGAATCTCTGCAATCTACACATGAAGCAGTGTTCAATGAAGCATACATGCAAAAAAAGTGTTCACAAGACTGCAGCTGCAAACCAATGAATATTTATTCATAAACAGATACAGCTTCTCATTCCTATGCTGTTGTTATGTGACATCAAGCCACTGGCAACTTATGGCAGCCCTACATTCGAGAGTTTGATTCCCCACGACGCCTTCTGAGAGAATACTCAACCTATGTAGCCTTAGGCAAGCTGAACACTTCCAGAGCACACCCACCCTCCCCAAAGATGGAACTGCAAACCGCTTCTGAGTAATCTATACACCTCCAGAAGATCTGAATTTCCAAATTCAAGACCATAGTTTCTATAACTGAACCAATCCATTTCACATTCTGGTTTTCTACCCCTTTGTTTCAGGCATATCATCCTCTTTTCAAAGGATAAAGAGCAACATACCTGGGGAAATGAGATCAAAATCTCTTAAAACCCCATCCACGACCACAGGATATGGGATCCAGTCTCCAGAATCAGGAGGGCTGGTCGCAGAAAGCAATTTGTTGCATAGGGGCACAGCAGAGGCGGGAATGGATGGCTAATGCTCAGTATGAGTTCAAACTGACAATCCATCCAAAGCTCAGACAGGTCTCTTGGGAATCTCACTTCCCCAACAGAAACTGCACCCATGAACAAAGCTTTCAACACACTCAGCCCTAATTTAGTGACAAATCTGGAGTTAGATTCCTCACTCAGGTATTTCCAGTGTGTACTGAACCAAGGTCCAAGAGCTAAAGCTCTCGTGACTTTCTCCTCCGCCTCCTCGCTGAGGCAAACTGCTTAGGAGGAAAGGGGAATCAGTCTGCCTGTAATCTTTGCTTCTCAAACTCTGCTGTTTTTGGAAAAGAGGTGGGACATGGTGGACAATCACAGTAGAAGGCAGCAGAGGGAACTGCCGCTCTCAACGTTGCTTCTCAGGTTTTTCCTAAGTGTGGTAATGAAACAGAAACCTTATGTATAAGTTCCAACTGATGTAAGCGCCAACTTATTTCTAATAGTTCATACACAGTTTATGTTTAAATCAAATTTAAACTGAGCTGCTGTTGCTTTACCCCACAAAAAACCTAACTCATTTGGCTAATTTTGCTGTTTCAGACAGCTATCTTTGATCTCTAAATAAAATGAGATGCAAGCTAAAAAGTAATTAAAATAGAAGCAATTTATACTAACAAAAAAAAATACTTGCAACACAGACATGGAACTTGAGGATATAACCTTGGCCACAGGATTTGAGGGAAGAGCTGCATTTCAAAATGGCTGTTTGTCCAAGAAACAAAATAGCTCAACAAGAATTATCCATTAGATTTGCTGGATCAACAGTTCCAAAATAAAGTGTACTTTGAAGCCCAGTTGCCTCTTTAGTGGAGCTCCTTGGCTGCAGTATTTGTGTAATAACAGACATCCACATGGAGTCAACAGGCTCTAGGAGCAGAAAGTGAGCCTTGAAATAAAGAGATGTCTGGCATCACTATTGTTGACTTTAGAGGAAACAATGAAGAAAGTCAATCACCAAGACACAACAGTTTTCTCAAAGAATCTCACAATATGTACTTCTTTGAAGAGTATCCCAATGTTAAGAAAAGATATGATTCTAAAATTCTACAGGCAAAATTTCCTCACCACCTAAGACTTTGGCCTAAGCTACTAGCTTCATGCAAGGCTTGGCAGCTCAGTTCAAATGTGATGATATTCTAGCAACAAGAATGACCAATCTCTTTAGTAATGCAGAACTTATCAAGGACACAAGATCAAAGGAGAAATTTCTGGACAGACTAGTACATTTATTCCACCATCCACCCTATTCCTTTAATCACAACTTGTTTTTCATTCACACAGCTGCCAAGGCAGATGAAAAGCGCTTAGGTCTGTTATGACTTAGTGCTACCTTGGTGATCAATCATTGGATTACTATCACATTTTCTGAAAACACACTTTAAAAATAAGACATCAAGAGCAAAAGTGCATGAATGTTCAATGCACAGGATTCCTTAGAAGTTTATCAGATGTTCCTCAGTAATAAAATCAATAATGGCAACAATCAACATCAGCGTGACTGCTCATCGGCACAGACAAAGTGATGTCCACACCCCCATGTAGCCCCCAAGACCTTTCTTACACCTTTTCATATTTCTCCCCAAAAACTTTTTAAAAATGTTTTTGATTTGAGTTTGCTACAAATCGGCTGTTTACTTCAACATGGACACTGAAGGCATTCAAGAGAAAACTGGACAATCATCTGTCAGATCTGCTGACCTGGATTCCTGCATTGAGCAGGGGGGTTGGACCTGATGGCCTTACAGGCCTCTTTCAACTCCATTATTCTATGATTCTATGGCTTACTGGAAGATTCTTCTTCTCCTCTCCTCCCCTTTTTAAACAGTTAATGTAAGGAACATATTTCTAATCACCACACTCTTCCCTAGTTTCCCCAGCATCCATTTTCCTTAACCTTTATTTTGAGAGAATTAATAATTTTGTTATTTAAGAGGCTTAAGATTTTGCAGTTACTAAAACAGAATTCACTTTAAAAAGGAAGCCTTTTTAACTTTTTTTTGTACAGACTGGCAATTGCTGCAGCCTCTCCCATATTAATTAGACATGGGATATTAGACATGGGTCCAGTTTTCCCAGGCACCTGTAAATTTCCCAGGGATATGAATATGAACATCTCATGTCTAATACACATATACATACACACACACTCTGTAATAAACATAATCTGTAACGAGTTGTAATTTATCTTTAATAAAGCCTCAGTAGATCTGTCAAATAAAAATTTTTTTAATGATTTCATTTACAATAATAATTACCTAAGTCTGAATGAGATGTGAGGGAAAGAAATTTCTTAATGCTCAGAAACATTGTAATTAAATATAAGATAATAAAACCATTCTACTCTCTTTGGTGAGCAGCCTTTCAGTGGTTGGCCAACCTGAAAAGTGGTTTTGTGAAAGCTGCACACACACACACATACACCCTGCTATATATGGTGAGCAAACAGCCTTCCTGAGAACAGCACCCTGCCAGGAGTACTTTTGTTTAGGTGAAAGAAGATTTGAAAGCACTTGGTTAAACTGAACACTACCTTCTGTTTTTTCTTCAGTTTCCTCTTCTCCTTCTTCTTTTCCAGAAACTGTTCCCATGGAGTCAGTTTGTCCTTCCCTTCTAATTTGTTCCGTACCATTTCTTCAGCACTTTCTTTCAGTCCTGTGGACAACCAGAAAATACATGTAACCAAATTAGATTCTGAATAAATGGCCTTCCTTTTAAAAACAGAAAATATATGATTACTATTGCAAATGAAAAAGTAGACAGATACTGATCACACTGCTTTGAAGGAACAGTGTCCTTTTCTAGCAAAGAGCTTCGTAGAGCTGAAAAATGCCTCTGTCTTCTTAGGCAATTCCAATGTGGGATTCCATCTTACAGTGTGGTATTATAATCAAGACAGGACTCTCCAACATCTACCATGCATGATGTTTCACAGGACTCACTGTCTTGATATCCAGTGTTCACCGTGGTTGGCATCTGGCTATAAGCATGTTCATATAAGATGCACCAAGATGAGACTAAAGTACAGTGGGGTCTTGACTTGAGAACTTAATCCGTATTGGAAGGTGGTTCTCAAGTCAAAAAGTCTGTAAGTCAAGCCGTCTGTAAGTCAAGGGTCCACTGTACAGAAGATACATGGATTCTGCAAGGATGAGGCAACCCCAAGATTCTGCAAACAGCCTCCTCTTATGCTTCAGCAACTGCCTGTGGCTCCGTAACTGAGCTTGGAAGTCGTGGCAACAATCAAGCCTAAAACTGATTTTCATGTATGCCACCTGGGGAAAGAACTACACTCCTTTTTATTAAACTGATAAACTGTCATTCATGTATTTTTCATCTCAAGACCAGAACTAGTGGGCTGTATTTACTCACTTTGCTCAGAAACAGCTGAGATGTTTCAGCTGGCAAAAAGCAACACCCTATCTTCTGAGTTAGTTGCCAAAAACACATATGCTCAAGTGTCTATTTTGGCTCTCTCTCCCCCCCATCTTCTAGGTAGAATTTGAGTAACAGTTCTTGAGTGTTAATAAGACTGTATGTATTACAAGAAACCAAGTGGGCATTAATTAGCATCCTGAAAAGTTCCTGAACCTTGTGAGTAGATAGGAACGACTAAAATTACATATGCACATTTTTAAAAGACTTGCATGCATGCACACATACACAACAGCTCCTTTGAAGACATGCCCCATGATGCAATTTTAAAAAAACTTGTACACCTTCACAGCTACTCTGATTACAGAAGCACTTTGGTAAATTAAAAACAAAAGGCTTCTGCTATAACATGAAATCCAGAACAAAGCTTCAACTGTGATCTGACTTGGTTTTAAAAGAAACAGCATAAACGTTTTTCAATAACTATTTGTAAAAATGGTCATACTAAAATAAATAAAATTATCCTTTTTATTTGGTTTAATGTCTAATTATCTCACATATCCATTTATATTAGCAGAACCAAACTGTAGAATTAAAAGAACATGAGGTTACTGTTCTCTAGCAGGCAAAAGATTATGTAATCCCACAGGGAGTTGAAATCAAGCCACTTCAGATTTTCATCTCCCTGGAGCCCTCTTGTCATGTTTGCTCACTAGCATAAATCTTTTAAGTTAGCCTTTCCAGACTTGTCAACAGTTGGAAGAACCTAGATATCATGTTAAATGTGTGGAAAGAAACATCCTTTCTTTCCACAGCAAATGACAACCACATAAGGCCAAGTAGGGAAAACACATTCCACAGCATAGCAGACTATCTCATGCAAGCTTCCCTAGCCACAAATGGATAGGAAAGAGCATGAAACAATTTATTTTGAGAGAAGTTAAAGCCATCTATTATCAAGTTTATAGCATTCTACATGCAATGTGGCATGAATCGCCGCAGCCGGGATAGTGCAACAGTTGGCAGAGTGTGGTAACAAGGAATCCAAGCCTTAACAAGCCTTTTTATTCATATTTTTCTTCTCTTCCTCTCATATACATAACTTGTTTAACCATAGTGACTGAGCAATGGTTTGATGTTGTGAACAAGCTTTGTACTCAAGAGCTCATTCACTTCTTCTGCATGTTTCAATGCAATGAATTATTTTCACCTTCAAACCAACTCACAGTTTACCATTAGATCTGAATGACCAAACAATGGTTTGCAAGACCTGTCCAAAACCAGATGAGTTGTAATTAGACAGCACTCAGCATGCTTGGACATACATAAATATACATATATATGGTTTTGTTTTTACACACGGGCTATTTGGTGGAAGGAGAAATCCCTGTTTTTAAAGCTTGGATTAAAAGTGTGAGCTGGAAGAAAGAGTCAAAGAGAGAAAAGAGAGTGAGCTGTCCCCTCCCACGTCTATAGAGAGGAATGATAGAGAGGTAAAGAAAGTGAAAGAAGTGAAAGGACTGGAAGTGGAAGAAAAGGGGGAGGAGACAGTGGAGAAAAAGAGGGTGGATGTGTTCTTGATGTCAGAAGAGTGGAATAAGTCAGGAGAGACAAGAAAGGTGGTTGTATGGGAAGAAGAGAGACAGGAGGAGGAAGAGGTACCAAGAATATTTAAAGTGCCACAGAAAAAAGGGATAAAAGATGAGATACATGGAACAGTAGAGAGAGGAAAGAAAGAAGGAGAATTAAAGATACCCTTAGAAGGGCTAGGACCGGAGGAATGGACCATGCTACTATATCCTCGAGGCCGAAGTCCTTGGAGGAAGGTGGTCCGTCAGGGACCTAACCTGCTGAATCAGAAGCCACTGGAGGGAGAGTGGTCTCGTCACCCCTGGTGTGGGACTATCTGTGTGGTGAGGAGTGGCTCCTTACGATATCCAACAGATCAAGAGCAATTTGGACCCTCTCCCCACTGAGGAAAGAAAAATCCCGCAACGATTTACCTTTGTTATGGACAGAGTTATCTGTAGACTTTGATCATGTAGACCCTACAGAAGTTGTTGCTGACAAACCCAACAGTTCTGTTAATAAAGGCTTTATTGTTAAAGAATTGGTTTCTCCACTTTTCCCTGCTAAAATTAAGGAACTATCATATACTAGTGAAGAACCCTGTCACAAAAAGCAAGTCCTTATTTAGCGTCAATGTGCCAATGAATGATGGAACTGTGCAGCCAATTAGAGGTGTCTTCAGAATTTTTTTCTTCAACAGCTCCAGCTCAGTAAGAAGCAGGTGGACAGTGGTACTTACTGTGTGGCTGCGACACTGCCATGCTAGTCTTTTCTGCCTGGGAAAACATGATTCTGACAGCCACATAGAGACAATGCCTCTCCACAAAGGAGCTAACTGATACCTTTGACATATCTCTTTGAACGTATTTACAGTGGATAGACCTGATGAAAGTAAGAGATTTGCAGCCCATGTAGTAAAATATTCTCCTGCATTCGTTTCTGGCAACAGAATTTTACTATTGTTCTTGACATAGCTACTGAATAGCACCTATTCTTTCCTGACTGCACACTCTCCAGTCAGCAAGACAGCATATGAGATAATTCCAAAGCAATTCTGGTTTGTGTCAAAGACAACCATAGAAAAATGTACAGCAGAACTAAAAACTAAATAGGTATAAGACACTGTATGGATGGCTTTCTTGGAAAATTGTCTTGAAGAGGTAATGTTAGAAGCTGAAGCATACCAGTACATACAGGGAGCCCTAAAAGACTGAAGGGGTTTAGCATATTTCTTATTTAACTGCCTAGAAAATGAAATCAGCTACCATCTGGAAAAGTGGGACTTGGATGTAACACAGACTTTCCATGAAAGAACTGAACTTCCGCCACAGATTAGATTGCCTCAGAAACTGTAGCCCAAACCATTCCCCAAAAATGAAAGTGATCGTCTCTAAGTTGTCACACTATACAAAGCATAAGAAATAAAAGGAATTGTTTGGAGCAGACAGAACATATGGTTAGAAGCTGAAGAATGTACTGGATGCCTGTGTTGATTCATTTGTATGTGTATTTTGAAACCACAAAAAGTTTTTATTCAGACTTCAAGGAATCCAAGTACTGCAAGGTCAGTGGAACTGTTGTACTAAATGAACCACTACAGTCTCCCTCAACCTTGACATATGGGATTTGGTTCCCCCCCCCCCGCCCCCCCCCCCCCCGCAAATTGAGATTTTTTCTTTTGCCAAGGAAGAAAATATACTGTGGGCATATTTGTTTTTTATGATTTATGAGCCTCCCTTCAGGACATATATTCTACTTTAAGACAGGGTATACATTTCGTTATATATAAATTAAAACAGAACACAGACATAGAGGGCACAGCAGGAGAAACATAGGTGTAAAGATTTGGCACTATTTGTCTCTCCTCTCTATATAACAGTCTTACCACTCTTTGTACCCACTCAGTGTCCACACAGAACTGTTTGTGGAAGTCTTCATAGTATGATTTCACCATTCCACAGATGAGGACTTTTACTAGGCAAGCCAAACTGTATGTGCAGCAACTTAAACCAGAAAGTGGGGGCCCTGAATCACTACAAATCTTTGTTTTGGAGGTTTGCAATGGCACAGGTAGCCCTATCTAGTCACTGCGTAAGAATGGTATGGTTGTAGTGGCAGGTGCCCCAGAGGACTCACCTGGAATTTGTTTAGGCCCTGCATCTATGCAGGATGCATTGCCCGTTGATCAAAGCTTTAAAAATGTCTTTGCTCAAAGTCCCTCGGCAACAGTCACTCGTATTAAAGGCACAAAGAGAGCTGCACTTGGCAACACATTATTACTTTCACAAGGGGGTAGGAAAGCCACAAAACGACAAGGGAGAAGCACAGGTGCATTCTTAGTTACTCTCAAACCAATTTCTCTCCTCCTTTGATACACTTGCACCTCAACAGCCAAATGGTTCAAAACTCAGCAGAAAATTGGCAAGAAAAATACAGAAAGTGAGTCCCATATCCTGCTGAATATTTACACACATGGGGCTCCAACTGTGAAAGCTCCCACAGCAATCTGATTAGGTGCCAGTCGCAGATGGCCAAGGGCCAGATCATATGACCAAGCACACAGCTGCATATGACCAGCATCGTGTCAGATCACTGCAGCAGGTTTTCCATTTGGCACTCCACGCGTGTAAATAAGCAATAGGATATTGGGTCTGAGCCTCAACTAAACCTTTGAATGTATTTCAACAGGGTAAGTTGAACTAAGTTTGTGTTGCTGAAATTGTTAAATACTTTGGTAGATCCATGCAACCTCTTCAACATTTAAAAATGGACAAATGATCACCTCAGAAACAGAAAATTAACACTGCAAATAATATAAGCCACCTACCTGGAACCCACTTAATCTCCATTTCCATATCAGTCTCCTGATGATGCTTCTCTTTTTCCTGGATACTCCGGAGAAGTTCTCTATATTTTGCAATTTGCTCTTCATCATCCTTGGGGTGAAGCTTAGGTTTTTCAATGTCTGTTGTGTGTGTTGCATCACTACCTTTAAAGAGGAAAGAAGAAGAAATTTCCAGAAACTATTTACAAGAGTCAACATGATTGAATCAAGCCATATACACAAAACAAATGAACAAAATACACTGGGTCAGAATATATGCCGTTCTGGATTTATGTACAAACTAAGTAACCTCTAAATATGATAAAACATTATACTATAACATACCATAAATGTGTCAGAATTATAGTTAGGGCTTTGGAGTGAAGTGTTATGGGGCTTAGACTCAATGCAGATTTTGGGCTTCAACAGGTCTTAATCTGGTCCTCATGTATATGCTAAACTGCATTTGTTGTATTGTACCCTGCTGACTTTATATTGTGTATTTTGCAAAGACCTGTGTGGTACGCAATAGACTACATTTGTTCATTTGTGTAAGTTGACTTTTAGACTGACAGTTAGGCAGCAAGACCTTAGTTGCATATCAAGGACACGAGAGTAGAAAATACAGGAGTTTGACTGGGCAGAGACAAGTACCTTCCCTGGTCACATGTACACATGTTCACATTTACATAAAAAGTTGTCTTGTATAAAAAAAATCAGACCACGATCTATCTAGCCAGGACCAGCCTGCTACGTGACGCACAGCAACAAATGGTGCTCCCCCAGCCCCAATTCAAAGTACGTAGCACCTAACACCAGTCATTCTGGCACCCTACAACAGAAATCACACACAGACCCCTCCCTGACAGTAAGAATAAGATAATCAAGTACCATTGGGTTCCATTTTCTTGACACCAAAAATCTGCTCTCTTGGTTGATTGTCTGACTTTGCCTTATGGCAGAATCAGCTCTTCAAACAGTTCAGTAATGTCAACTCTAAATGGTAATGGATTGCTAGCTATTTATTCAGGAGCTTTTCCCAGCCCTACTCAGAGATTCTGAGGACTATGTTCCTCATCCCGACATGAAACAATCTGCTCATGAATCCATCCCTGGATGGATTGCGTCAAAAGACGCAGCATTTAGGAACCCTTTACCAACTGTGCTTTATGGAAAGCTAACTCAGATTTTGCTCAAGAACTGCATGTTAAAACTTTAATTAAAATTCATTTAGGATTTGATACCTCCCCCAAATCTATGCAAGCACAGCTGACCAGGATGAGACAGATTGACTGCTCTTTTATATGTAACACCTTTTTAATAACTATACTGGGTAGAATAAGAAGTACAGAACATTCTTTCCATCTGATCACACATTTTACATTTCTATTCAAACAGCTGAAATTCATTTTTTTCCCCTGTTTGTGCTTAGTGCCACAATAAACAGACTGGCTAGAACTCTGTCGTCTATCCTACTACTCAATGAATAAAACATCAGGAACATGTTAAAGAAACGGCTGTGTATTTTCTATTAAAAACTTATTTTGGAAAACATAATTAAATTCAAGAACTTTCCAGGTTGAAAATATACCAGCAAGTCTCTGGTCTGGTCACACAGTTAAAACCAAGGTTCCTAACTGTAGCTAGCAGAGCACTTTTCATGTGGTTTCAGAGGCCACAATGAAAATAATACAGGAAAATGTAGATTTGTTCCAGAGCAATAAGTTAACAATGCTAAGCTAAAGCTTCCTCCTGTGTTCTGCTGCAGATGTATTAAAACATGCATGAGATGAGCAGAAAGGGAAAGAACTGCTGGATGCTGGAGAGCAGAGTCGAGGGCACTGTGGGCTTGGTGCATACACCGTATGATCTTTGTCAGGCATCTTTATTTAATTTGCTTCTTTACAGATGCGTTGGCTTTGAGTTGGCACTTCTGGTACCACATTTTTTCTTTGAAACTCCCAAACAGTAGGACATTCAGAAAGTTAAAGCTCAATGGAAATTAAGCTAAAAAATAACTGAAGCAACTAGAAAGACAGTTCACCCATCCCACTTCCATTCCATATTATACAGTCAGGTCTTTCTGAACTCACTTAGGTAACTAGGGGAAAAAGATGCACAAATCCAATCCAGTTAAGCACTTTTAAGTCTCAGTGACTGGAAACCTGTTGCTCGGTACTGTAAGTTGCAATTAAAATAGATCCACAGAATTAATGGTATTTACAAAGACAAGGCCTCACCAAATCCTCACTGATTCAATGGACCAATTCAAGTTGCGACTTACTACACTATGAACAGGATTTCAGACAGCAAGTGAATTTGTATATCCAGCAGCATTTAGTAACTGAAAACCAAGGTGTGTATTTGCAATTCAACACCAAAAATCTTTTCCAAGACTTCCATGTCACTTGCATACCCTTAAATACACCCTTACAAATTGCTCAGGTCCCAGCGTATAGCTTCAAGGAATACAATGCAGATATATGCCTTCAGGAGATGTCTTAGAACTTACTAAAGCTAAACAGGTCTCAGTCTTGTCAGGCCTGGATGAAAAATTACCTGCAAATGCCATGAATGAATCTATCTTCAATCCCACTCATGATGGAAGAAAGGCATAATATAAATGTAAAGAATAAAGTAAAATGAATGCTCAGCTCCATCCATGAAATGCTGTACAGTGGACCCTTGACTTACAGACGGCTTGACTTATAGACTTTTTGAGTTACAGACTTCTCTGGCCGCAAAATTTAGGTTTGACTTGCAGCCTGAGAATTGACTTACAGACCAGAAAAAACCAAAATGGAACAAAAACGGCCTGTTACGGGATTAATCGGTTTTCAATGCACTGTAGGTCAATGGAGACTTGACCTACAGCCTTTTTGACCTGCAGCCACCGTTCCAATACGGATTAATTCCTTAAGTCAAGGGTCCACTGTACTTGTTCACACTACAACAACCTGTCTCTCTCTCATGCTGGCTTAAAAGCCAAAGAGTAAGAGAATATTATTTTGGTTAAAGAGAGATTGGAACTGCACAATTATTTACAGCATCAGCTGTTAAAAACACATCTCAGCTGTCATGAAGTACTGTATATGAAATTGCACTTCATGGTGTTAATGCACGCATTTCTGACTCAAAGATTTGATTTTTAGAAAGGTTGGGGAATGGGGGGCAGGGGAGAAGTCTTGAAAAATGGCAATGAATGTAGAAACTCAGTCTAAATACTCATTTCTAAAAAGGCAAAAACAAGGACAAGGTAATAAGAGGAAAGCAGTGACCATTCAAATCTAGGAGACTAGCATGTGCTGAAATGAGAGTGACTTGATTGATCACACCATGGATGTGACATCTTGATAAAAATGGATCTTACCTTTAATTGAAAAATTAAATAGACGTGTGAAAGTGGCTGCCAAAGGAATCAAACAATAAACATATGAACCCTCCTTATTCTAAGACACAGGATTCACCCACCTATGCCCAGAACCAGGCCATAGGCAAGTTATGATTTTGGACTACAAGTCCTAGAATTCCTCAGCTAATAGGGCTACTGGCTGGAGTTTTTGTGAGTTGCATTAAAAAAACCCACCTCAAAATATTTCAAAGCTCTGCCCACTACAATTGACAACACCTATTTTATGTGTCAGGTACTAGTCTTTCCCTCACCTCCTATACAAACCTTTAAAGGTGGTTAAAAAAACTGCCACAGTAAACACACCTAGTACCTTCCAGACACAAACACCAGATGCCATCACTGACCTATGCTGCCCCATAGATTGACGGGACTGGAATAACTGCTAGCAACATGGTGGATTTATGGCCCCCTCCTCTGTTCATGTAAATCATCTACAATTAAGATTCCCTGCCAGAGTGCAGACATCTGAAGCCAGCCTTATTGGAACAAATTACGTACATGTTTCATGTTGTTTAACATTCTGTCAAAAGGCTCATTCTCAAGGGTCAAGTGACAGATGCAAGTGAAGACACCAAAGAACACATAGGATAACAAAGAGAACGGTTCACTAATGCATTAGAAAATGTTTGGAGGTACAGTGAAGGTGGGCTTTTTGCTTATCTGACAGAAGTGGAGAAGGATTTTACATGAAGGGGTCCTAGTATAAGTGTAAATGTCTTGCTTTCACAGATCTGGGCTTGTAGTCAGAATCCAAGCAAATGGGTAAGATCCAAAGTTGTGCAAGCAGCTGGAATTTTCCTCTCTGCCCACTCTATTCCATGTTTCTGCCCCCTCAAATCTACATTGGGAAAAGGGGAATAAAAATATTTAGCTGATAGATGTTATTCCACTAATACGGAAACACTATTGAACTCAATCCATGGCTTTACATATTTTTTCTGTTCTTCTTGTCTTTTGCACTCAGCATTAACAACCTCAGTGTCCACTGAACTGCAGAACATTTAAAGTGTTTGCTACCCCTCAGCTGGTATCTCTGAGGAATTAGAAAAAGATGGTAATCATTTCAAAGACATTAATATTGCTCTCAGTGCCTGGGTAATTACTATTATTTCAACTGTCAAAAGTGCCAAACAACTCAAGCCCATAAAACACACACCAAACACTGTCCAAAAATGCTCATGTCAGCTGGCAAGAGTTGGCTTTCACAACCCACAGGGTATTATGTTTCTTTACAATTGCACAATTTCACAATCCCAATTTCCAAAGAAAGGAAACATTTCCATGAACAAAAGGAACATCAAGTGCAACTGCATTCCAATCCTTCCAAAGGTTTAAAGGAAAATTATTCCAACTATGTACAAGACTTTGAGGCCTTGGTTACACAACAATGGCTAATATGCTTTAACCTGCACTGTCTCAGGTTAAACCTAGATTATGACTGCTTTAAAATTTTATTTTTAAGGTAACTCACAGCGCAAAGTCAGAAAAAAAAACATTTCTCCAATAAACCTACAGCTGACAAGTTATGCAGATACAGGATCCTAATCAACTGTATGATAATACTTGTAGAAAACTATTTTTCATATTATACCTCTCATTCCACTACACTAACACATAAAGACTTAAATTTAAAAAATAATCTAAATAACAGATATACCACATTGTTGTTTAATAAATAAATCCACAGTAGAAAGATCTAATCTTTTGTCTTACAAATGGAAACCAGTATTGCTGTGGAGTGAATCTGATATGTAGATACTCCAAGCATATTACCTATTGAATAAGCTGGTCCGTCTTCAAAATTGGATCAGATGATCAGGAACTTTACAAGTTTTTTTGCAAGAAAGATTACACATGCCCATTATAGTAAAGCTGCACATTATAAATTTCATAGGGTCTCCCAATGTTCACAAAGTTCTGTGCAATCACACACACAATCAAGTACTTTCTATTCTCCTGCACAAGTAAAGCATACAACAAGGGCTGGCCATGACCATCATCGACTGATTATTTACACATTGTTCCAAATCTTCCTACCTATTTACACTAGCATGAAATTAATGGAGTAACCATTGGAGACAAATGGCCCCAAACTAAGAAATCACCATAAACAGTATCAGTTGCATGTTGAATTGTGGGACTCAGCATGCAACTGATACTATCTACAGTGATTTCTTAACCTAAGGCAATTTGCCCCCAAAATCACACCTTGCATAACTACATAAAAGAGGATTTTGACTGGTGACTTTCAATAAATATGTTAAGAATGAATCCTATTTTCGAAAGAAAATATTGTTAAGGAAAATACGAGGAAGAAACAGCAACAGACAGTACTGGAACTCAATTAAGAAATATATGGCTTCTGTTAAATATGCATCTACTGTATTTAACTTCATTGTAATTCCAGGTGGCTAGGCTTTAAAATCCTGAAACCCTTAACTTCTTTCAGGAAAGAAATTGTCCTTAGCATTTATAGCTGCAAAAAATACCTCAACATACACACCGGAATAGAAGGAGACAGCATGAACATTCCCCCTAGCCAAAACTCCATTATGAGAACAGGGATTTCCCTGAAGTCATTTGATGTTATTCAGCTAGCTACATTCTCCAACCCAACTACAGGAAAAATAAATTAAACCTTTTCCTTTTACAGGACTGTTGTAAATACAGCTGAATAATACATGCAAAGAACACCAGGCAGTCATGAAATGCTCTACTGAAGGCACAAACTGGTGAGCACTAGCAGTTGGATTTTATCTAGACGCGTTTGACTGGGTTCATAAATGAACAGTGCAAAGAAATAGAGGAAAATAATAGAAAGGGAAAACCAGAGACCTGTTCAAGAAAATTGAAGATATTAAGGAAATATTTTGTGCAAAGATGGACATGATAAAGGACAAAAATGGTAGGGACCTCACAGAAGCAGAAGACATCAAGAAGAGGTGGCAAGAATACACAAAGGAATTACACCAGAAAAATCTGGATGTCCCGGACAACCCAGATAGTGTGGCTGCTGACCTTGATCTAGACATCCTGGAGAGTGAAGTCAAGTGGGCCTTAGAAAGCCTGGCTAACAACAAGGCTAGTGGAGGTGATGGCATTCAGTCAAACTATTTAAAATCTTAAAATATGATGCTGTTAAGGTGCTACACTCAATATGGCAGAAAGTTTGGAAAACTCAGCAGTGGCCAGAGGACTGGAAAAGATGAGTATACATCCCAACCCCAAAGAAGGGCAGTGCTAAAGAACGCTCCAACTAACGTACAATTGCACTCATTTCACATGTTAGCAAGCTTATGCTCAAAATCCCCCAAGGCAGGTTTCAGCAGTACAGCATGTGTCTGGTCTCTGGCTGTCTGTGAATTTCGTTGTATGTGTATATACTTACAATGACAATAAATTATTATTATTATTA